CCTAGGGATGATTATTTGCTTGAAAAGGGAGTTTTCCATTCATTTAATAACAAAAATTTTCTAAAACTGGACCAATATTTTTGGAGTTCATAAAATAAAACCCTGATATTATTAGAACTAGTTTCTTTTCTGAGAAAAATCTTTCTAATGTTATATAAACTCTCATACTAACTTATTTAAAATGGATCATAATTCAGAGAAAGTACTATATTTGAACTGTATCATTAAAATACATTTTGAATTAAAAATTTCTGTTTCATATCTGAAGAAGTAGCCTTTTGTACTGTACCGGACAAAATGATCTGAAGCCACTAGGTTAAGATAAGATTCTAGAACTACTGAAGTCCACTTTGAGATTTTATTTAAGTTGTCCCTAAGGTTTCTGCTTTCAATTCACTCTCTACTTTCTAAATATAATATAAGTGTTTGATCAAAATACTTTTTATACTAGCTCTTTGTTCACCACCATTCTTGCCACTACTCTTCAATCAAAACCACCAGCATCTCACAACTGAATTTGTGCTATTGTGTTCTTCAATACTTCCCTCCTTTCTGCAGTACTTGCTTCCTGTAGTCTATTTCAAAATTGATTCTTTTAAAATTTAAACTTGGGGCTAGTATTGTAGGGCAGCCTGTAAAGCCACCACCTGCAATGCCAGCATCCCATATAAGCAATGGTTCAAGTCAGGCTGCTTCACTTCTGATCCAGCTCTCTGCTAACATTCTTGGGAAAGTAGCAGAAGATGGCTCAAGTGCTTAGGTTCCTGAACCCTTGTGGGAGACTCAGAAGAAACTCTTAGCTTCTGAGTTCAGTCAAGCCCAGCCATGGCCATTGTGGCCATCTGGAGAGTGAACCAGGAGATGGAAGATTTCTGTGTGTGTATCTCTCCCTCTCTAGTTAGCGCTGCCTTTCAAATAAATAAAATAAATCTTTAAAAATAAATAAAATTTAAGCCATCATGATACTCTCCTGCACAAAATCACCCAAAGAGCACACTCCTCCCATGACAGAACAAATTCAATGACTTCAGATGGCTTGGGTGACTTGGCCTATCTATCACCCTTCTCTCATTGCAATGCCTCAGAATCACTGCCTTGCATTGTTGTCCTAAAATACACCCTTACACTCTTCTACATGGGAAAAACAGCAACAGTTATCTCTATTGCTTACTCCACCACCTCATTTTGCTTTTTGCTTATATGTCACCTGAAGAGAGAACTCCTTTGACTGTTTTGTTTAAAATGAGATCATTCTTATCTCATTACTATCAGTGAAGACAGCTTAAGTGCTTGGGCCCCTACCATCCACGTGTAATAATACGTTTTTGCAGTTTCAGGTTCTTGATTTCAGCCTGGCCCTGCCCCAGTCTTTGTGGCCATTTGTGGAGTGAACCAACATATGGAAGACCTCTCTCTGTGTGTCTCTCCCTGTCTGTCTGTAACTCTGACTTTCAAATAAAAATAAAATAAATCTTTTAAAATTATTTCATACGCTAAGGCCATAAAATATTTTCTTCTGTTATCTTCTGTAAGCAATATTGTTTTCCTTTGCACAAAAGAGTCACAATGCAACCAGAATTGATTTACATTAAGAATGTTTTTGGTTTTTTTTGTTTGTTTGTTTGTTTTGTTTTATTTTATTTATTTATTTTTTTTGACAGGCAGAGTGGACAGTGAGAGAGAGAGACAGAGAGAAAGGTCTTCCTTTTGCCGTTGGTTCACCCTCCAGTGGCCGCCACGGCTGGCGCGCTGCGGCCAGCGCACTGCACTGATCCGAAAGCAGGAGCCAGGTGCTTCTCCTGGTCTCCCATGGGGTGCAGGGCCCAAGGACTTGGGCTATCCTCCACTGCACTCCCTGGCCACAGCAGAGAGCTGGCCTGGAAGAGGGGCAACCGGGACAGAATCCGGCGCCCCGACCGGGGCTAGAACCCGGTGTGCCGGCGCCACAAGGCAGAGGATTAGCCTAGTGAGCCGCGGCGCTGTCTTACATTAAGAATGTTTTAAGGTAGGAATCAAATTAGTCTTTTTCATGCAAACTTCTAACTATCCAAGTATTAATTATTATATTAATTTGAGAGAATTAAAATGCTTAAAACAATATTTAACACTCTGTCAAGGGAAAACACTACTCCTGAAACATGTACGGAACAAGGCTGAATGTAACTTATAACCTGCTAAACAAAGATGTTTACTTGTGGAACCAGATTCTCTTTAACAAAGCAAAGAGTTAAACTTATATAGGGTTTTTAGGTAGTATGGAGTTTAGTGATTGGCTAAAATTCAGAAACAAGGCCACCAAAGCTGATCTGTTGCTGATAAACATAATTCAGCAATGAGGATATGGAAGGAGGACCATTACACAAAATTAGGAACTAATTTTTATCTTAGTTTTGTTATTATTTCTATTTTTACATCAATTGGATAACAGGAACTTTAAAATTATAATTATTTTTGTGTTTATAAAGCAAAGAGACAGAGAGAGAAAAAGAGAGACAAAATCTCCCATCGGATGTTTCATTCTTCAAGTTATTGTAAGATCAGAGCTGAGCCAGGCTAAAGCCAAAAGCCTGGAAATCATTCTTGGTGTCCCAAGTGGATGTCAGGGAACCAAGTACTTGAATCATCATCTGCGGCCTCCCAGGATGTGTATTAGCACAAAGCTGGATCAAAAGTGGAGGTTTAGAAATGGGATGCAGGCATTCAAGTAATGTCTTAACCACTGTGTCAAACACCTGCCTCAGATAATAGGACCTTTTTTTTTTTTAAAAAAAAAATTTTACTTGCAAGTGTATGGGTTAATATCTACCATGTAACTACATGTTTTTTTATTTACTTTTCTAGATCTATGTTTCCTTTCCCCCTTGTTGGCCTTTACTTTATTGACTGAGAAATTTTATCATTCCTTATATCCTCATTGTTCGTTTGAAATATATGCCTGTACAAACACACAGATATACATGTACCATTCTATTCAGTATGTACTCTGAGATTTTGAAATGTTTCTTTGAATTGTAAACCCTGGTGTTAATGCAAACAACTTAGAACATTTTAACAATGCTTACTTTATTTCTTAACTTTGTGATTTGGCAGCTGTGGGTCTTAAAATCTAGATGTATATTTTACATTCCACAAAGTGCTACCATTATTGACCAATACACTTAATATGCAGTCTGATCCACTCACATTGTCACCATTTTTGTGGAACTGTATTATACCTTGAGCCCTTGATTTTCCTTTTCTGATGATGTCATCTTACTGAGTGTGAATTTACTGATAAAGAGTTCTCCGTTTTTTGTTTTGTTTTGTTCTGAAAATGCCTTGGTTACATCTTCATGATTAAAGTGTGATTTTTTTTTAGTATGAAACCTAGTTAGATTTTCTGTTAGTATTTTAAAGACAGTATTGTCTTAGTTTGCTATTATTTTTAACTACTACCACCTATTTTTTGTCAGGAAGTCAGAAGTCAGTGTAATATCTATTATAGTGTAATCTCATTTTTTCACTAAACTTAATAGTTCTTGCGTTTGATTTTCTGCTGTTTAGTTCTGAAGGGCTCATAAGCAGATTTCTTTTTATTTATACTGTCTGGGTCTATAAGGTTTCTTCAGTCTCTGGCTTGATGTATTTTTATCATCACTGAAAAAAAATTCATTGTTTAAATATCCCTTCCTCACATTATCATTTTTTTCCTCCTAGAAACTTAACTGCACTAATTTATCATTGTATCCTCTTTGTCTCCTAACATTTCTTCTGTATTTTACATTTTTATATTGATTTTCCATTCTGGATGAGTATTTCTTACCTGTATATCATTTCAATATTTCCACCTTCAGTTATCCTTACTCTATGTTTATTTCAGTATGATTTTAAAATATACTTGAAAGGCAGAGAGACAAGAGGAAGTTCAAGTTTCTAGTTCACTCCCTATATGCTCACAATAGTTAGGGCTAGGACAGGTAGAAGCCAAGAGTCTCCCACATGTATGTCAAGGACCCAAGTACTTGAGCCATCTTCTACTACCTCTCAGTGTACATTAGCAGGAGTCACGAATAGGGATAGGAACCAAACTCAGGCACTCCAACATGGTATGCAGGCATTCCAAATGGCATCTTCCCTTCCCATCCTACCTTAACCCATTTTTAAACATATCCATCAAGGTCTTAATTTTAATGCATTTTCTGTATTTTGTTTATTTTAATGTATAATTCTAAAATAGCATTTTTAAAATTTTGTTTGTTGTGAAAATAATTTCTATCAACAAAAATTCCCTATCATCTTTTTCCTTCATTAAACACATAGTTACTTTAAACTCTTTCTCATAACTAACATATCTTAATCTTATAAAAGTTTATATTTGCTTGTTTTTCTTTTGTGTCTCATAGTATTCTGTGTCTAGTTATTCTTTATTGCATGCCAGCCATTATAGATGAAAAATTGTTTTTATAAATAACCTGAAGCCTAAAATCATAGGGTATCCTTCCAGACAGGATTTTTATTTGCTTTTTCCAGCTTCCTGGGAACACCATCAATCTAGGTGTAACTCAATTTACAGTGTCAGGTGACTCAAAGGTATATTTTATTCCCTACAAGTGCTAACCTATTTCTAGCTGGTGCTAATTCCCAGGAAGCAAGTGTTAGTGTTCCCAATGAAATAGTAGATAGTGTATCAGACACTCCCCTACTTCGAGAAGCATAAGATTTCAATTTTTGTACCATTATTGCTACATAAAACTGTCAAAAATACTTGTTTGGCTCTGGATCCTTATCTTAGATTGGAAAATGTCCATAGGAAAAGGTTTTCTTAGAGTTCAGGCTCACAGCCCTGTGAGATATGCTCATTCTTTCTGGTTTTGATAGCGGGCTTCATCATTAACAACTTTGTAACACTTTATGCCAAATATCTGCTTGTTGCTAATATACTTGTACAAGTTACCTATCAGAACCAGGTATTTAAAATTATTCAATTTTCCTATTATTTGAAATAAAACGTGGTCATATGGATGAGGAGATGAATGAAGAATCACATGCCAGTATTCTAGAATAGTGAGATGTAGTGAGACCAAGAATCCCAGATGATATACTTCTCAATTGACTCCATGTTACTCTAATCATGAGTAATGATTATTCCCACAACTTTGCCTAAAATATATTTTTAACTTATTTATTATTTTTTCTTTTTTTAAAAAAAGATTTTTATTTATTTATTTGACAGCTAGAGTTACAGACAGTGAGAGAGAGAGAGAGAGAGAGACAGAGTGAAAGGTCTTACTTCCATTGGTTCACTCTCCAAATGGCCACACCGGCCAGAGCTGAGCCGATCTGAAGCCAGGAGCCAGGTGCTTCTTCCTGGTCTCCCATGTGGGTGCAGGGGCCCAAGCACTTGGGCCATCCTCTACTGCTTTCCCAGGCCACAGCAGAGAGCTGGACTGGAAGAGGAGCCACCAGCACTAGATCTGGCGCCCATATGGGATGCTGGCGCTGCAGGCAGAGGATTAACCTAGTGCACCATGGCTCCGGCCCCCTTCTTTTTATTTGAAATGGCAGAGATACAATGAGAAAGGGAAAGAGACAGATGGAGAAAGATTTTCAGTCTGCATGCTCATTCCTCAATATTCAGGGCTAGGCTAGAAGTAAGGAACTCCAACCAAGTTTTCCCACATGTAGGTGGCATGGATGGAATTACTCAAATCATTACCTGCTTCCTCCCAAAATACACATTAGCAGGAAGTTGGATCAGAAGCAGAGGAGCTGGGATTCAAACCAGGTACTTGAATAGGGGAAGCAGTCATCTCATAAAAAGGGAAAGACTGATATTTCAATTAAGTTACAAACACCTCCATTGTTTAAGTTTACCTGAATTGGTCAATATTATTGGAATAGGACTGGTGTATTTGGTATGCTATTAGATATTAACTCAAAGTCCTCTGGAGGTTAAGTGGGGAAGGGAGCCTTGACATGTAGCATACTCCTAATTCCAGGGTCCACATTCTCCCACCACAGATGAGTAAGGATACTAGTGTGATATCATTTGGGAAAGAATACAACCAGCTCTTTTGAGCCAATATGAGCTAATGCCATTGGAGCACTAATTCCAACTGCACAAGTTTTATGTCTTCACATTTTACTTTAATTATATTCTTTCAAGAAGTTTGAACTTTCATAGCAGCAACTGAATTGTTAATGATTTCCAAAAACATAAAAATGTTGTCAAAGATAATCTCATTGTTGCGGAGGGAATTATGGGGTTCTTGATCATTTAATTAATTAATCAAAATATTTAATAACTGTTTATTTTATGTTAGGTAAATGTACAATTCTGAAAATACACATACGGTAACACAGACAAGATATTGCTTCAAAGACTTATATTGTTGTTGGGGGAGACAAACAACAATTGAAATAATCTGTTCTAATAAACTCAACTATGTAGGAGTTTATTAATAGAGTTGTAAAATTAGAAAGAAAGAATAGAAATCTCTAACATAAAATCTTTTTCTTCTATTTTCTCAGCCCTAAAATCTTATTTAGCGAGGATCTAATGCCTTAACTTATTTTGTGTAATTATGGAAACAACTATTTTAATTTATCTGATGAAGTTTCATGCCATTTCATAACTTTCTGAATTAAGTTGACCACAATACTAAAATGATGGAATTTAATGACATGACCATTGAGTAAACATGTATATTCTTTCCTCACCCTCCTCGTCCAGCAAGAAGGGAATAGATGTTTTCAGATCATTGATTTTTAATATTGAGAGGAAATGAAAGGTGATCAGATGTGACAAAAGTGGCTTCCTGTACGACTTGAAGGCAACATAGGCTCTTTTTTTTTTTGGAGTGGGACTTTTAAAAGAATTATTTCTAACAATATTTGCAGAAATACATATTATACCATGGACAAGACATGAATTAGGAATAGAAGCATAATTTATCATTAAGAAGCATTAAGCTATTATGTTGAAACAACTATCAATTAGCTTCCACATAATATCACCCCAGAGAAATGATTAAAGTCTTTAGTTCTTGATATAATAACCACATGCAAAGAATAAAATAGTTACTTATCCAAATGTTAAGCATTATAAATGTATTTTAAATCAGCCATGGATTATATTTATATTCTATATTTCACAGATATTTTCCTAAGGGAGATATGACAGTATTTTCTTATTTAGATATTTACATTTTGTAAAGCTTTCCTTTGACTTCAAAACCTAATTCCAGCCACTGGATTGGGAATATAAGTGCATGATTGTTATTTTCATTATCAAATTAGACAATATGTCTACTTCAAGTACCTCAAGATTATTTACAAACATTTATTGCCAAATACCTATAATGATCCTTTGAGATGTGTAAACTTGAAGTTATGCTAATTATAATTATAATCAAATCCCCATTGTAAACACAGAGATGAAAAATTTATTTACAACATAACATCTGCTAGGCTCTGAAAGTATATATGTTGAGGAGTGAGAGCAAACAATGACAGCAAGCTGGTGGCCAGCATGTCAACAGGGCTTGTGAGACTCTCATCCCTCTCCTTTAAGTGATTTACTCACAGAAGAAAATGAAAATGAGAATATGTGAAGCTAGGTTCATGAAAATTTTTATTTCACCAACAAAAATGACCAAAAAGCATGAGAATATATAAAGAAAGCCTATAAAAATTTTGGTAATACTAACACTATTCTTACTGTAGATTTATTGAGATGGAAGGAGAACACTAAGTAATTATTGTTTCATTCTTCATTCAACTATTAAATTAGAATATCAAAGCTGGAGTTGGCATTGTGGTATGGCAGGGTAATTCACAACTTGCTACACCAGCATCCCATATCAGAATGCCAATTTGAGCCCTGGGCTGCTGTGCTTCAGATCCAGTCCCTGCTAACGCGTGTGGCAAAGCAGCAGAGGGCCTAAATACATGGGTCCCTGCCACCCATGTGGGGAACCAGGTCCTGGCTTTGGCTTGGCCCAGTCCCAACTGTTACAGCCATTTGAAAGTGAAACAGGTGATGGAAGACCCCTCTCTCTTTCTCTCCCTCCATGTTCTGGCCACATCACTAGGTATACTCAATGCTATAGAGAAGATTCCACAAAGCCAAAATGATTTAATCAACATTTCATGAATCTCTAGTGAGAGGTGATCTGGATAACAAAAATCAGTAGGTCTGAGTAACCATTATCAAGAATAAAAAGGAAATTCACTATAGACCAGTCATTTACCTAAAATATCAACCTCAAAAGAAAATTGAACACAATACAACTTTAGCTAATGTCCTTTTTAGACATTTCTACGATTCCATTTGACAAAAATCTCCTAAAGTATGAGTTTTAAACAAGCAGATGTCTGTTTTAATGTGGGCATTTGTTCTTTGAGATTTTTACCAATATGGTCTCATATGAAGATTATGGACAGGAGTGATTAGTCGAGGAGACTAGTATGAGAGCCACTTTGATGGAAGGAGGTGAGAGCAGGTCACTTCACTAACACTGAAGAACACTATTCTTCTTCTGTTGGTGGCATCATGAGTCCTGGAGACTTTGGAAAAGAAGAAATGGTTGAAGGTAAATTGTTAACACAAAATCGGCACTCAAAGTAAATGCCCAGGTTTGGTGCCAGTAGGGAAACATGGTAAACTTATTTCAGCAGTTTTCTCCTGATAAATCAAGCTATTCACTTGACTGGCAGTTGTTACATATGTGCAACCTAACTTACTTCAGTAAGTGCCAGAGTAATTAAGTGAGGTAGAGTGATCCAATGGGCTCCCTGGCCCTAACATACTTTTTAAGGTACAAAAGTCAGGTTACATATGATTATATGGGAAAATGTGTTCTAATTAAAATGCATTGGTGGTGTACCTATGCCATCTTCCCTGTTATTCCCTATAATTTTTTTTTTCAAAGTAAATTTCCAAGTCCAGGAAAAATAGAAAACGAAGCTCATTATCTTGTAAATTGGAAACAGAATTTGTAAAACAAAATAACTTTCTTTAACTTTTTTGTTTACACATTCTAGATGGATTCTCAAAGCTTATTTACTTCCAAAACACCTTCTCCTATTTTCCTCTCTTTTTGTATCTTTCTGTCACAGCGATCTGTTAATTCATGGAATTATAAATACTTTTCCAAGTGCAAGACTTTTTAAAATTGAAAATTATTCTAACATCACTGAAGTCTGTAATTAAATTGCTGATAAAATTACTCACACAAATGCAAATTATATAAATACATATCATATATAATATACATACAAATACATATCATATCATATATTTTTCTGTATAATCTCTCTGATGCTACACAGGATGACTGATACACATCTTCAACAATTTATTTGCCTCAGGTTGGAGACAAAATCTTTTCAGCAGAAAAGAGTCTTGGAAGGACTGCTAAGCTTCATTTGGCAACAATTGTGATGTGTGACAGCACTTAATGAAATATCATATCTTTTCAATTAAAATTTTATATACTGAAGGTTTACTTAATTTACACCAAGTAAGTTTCAAGTCTAGAGCCTAGTGAGGCATCAGAGAATGAACTGTGTGCTATTTTGAAGCATTCATGTGGATACTTCATCATTATTTTTCATCATTTAGAAGAAACACTTTTCCCAAAGTAATAAATATTGAGAGAAATGAGTGTTCTATAATACAACATCTACTTTTATTTTAAATGATTTACCCATTTCTGAAGAGCCAAAAGAAAATAAAGCTTCATCAAAAGTCCTATTCATGCTTTCCAAACCAGAATTAATAGCCTGTCATTTTACTTACGCAGTTCTTTCAGTTCTGTGATTATGGAACAGCGGTTTTCTGATTTGTTTCTTCCAGTGTGGGCAGCTGATTGTTTACTGTGGTTAGCTGATATTTCTGTGGAAGGAAAGCTATCACCAATGCATTGTGGAATGTTCAGTCAGAATCCTGCCCTGTGGTTCTGTCTGAGAATCACAAAGGGGACAAAATATAGTCAGTGCCTCCTTTTTTTTTTTTTTCAGTCACAATTAAAAAAGCAGCAGACGTACACATTTTATAAAACATTGATTAAATGCTTCAAACAATTCTCTTAGATAAAATCAGTAGATGCCAGCTTGTCATTAGGAGACTTTCCAGAACAGGAAAAGCCATTTTTAGATAAAATGAATGCTTTGTATTTATTTTTATTATGTCAATGCATGCATATATATGACAAGTTAATGGCCCTAGGAATTATCAAATTAGTAGATTTTGCATCTGCTGATTTTTCTACTCTCAGTCTCGCAGCTAATTTATTTAACTGCTCCTCATTAGGAGTTCTTAGCAAATAATTTCATCATTTAATTTGGTAGGCTTTTAATGCATGGTGAAATCCTTCAAACACTAATATCTTATTATGTGGTATTTATAACACTTTTGATTAAATTGGACTGAAGCTATTTTACTAATAAAGAGCGTTCACAGTTTGAATCCAGTTTATATTACCTTTTTTTTTTTTTATTATTTGACAGGTAGAATTATAGACAGTGAGAGAGAGAGAGAGAGAGAAAGGTCTTCCTTCCGTTGGTTTACTCCACAAATGGCCGCTACAGCTGGCACTGCGCCGATCCAAAACCAGGAGTCAGGTACCTCTTCCTGGTCTCCCACATGGGTTCGGGGCCCAAGCACTTGGGCCATCCTCCTCTGCCCTCCCAAGCCACAGCAGAGAGCTGGACTGGAAGAGGAGCATCCGGGACTAGAACCCGGCACCCATATGGGATGCCGGCACCACTGGCCCCTATAATATCTTTTCAAAAACCGAGATCAAATAGACTTTCCTCATTCCTAATACTATGATCTTTCTACTCTAAACTATGGCCTTGCCAAAGGAGATTTCTTACTGACTTGGCCAACTGGCCCTAAAACAAAAGTAAGGACAAGTACAATTGTTCCATTTGCAGCCTTTAAGCCACAACCATTTCTGTTTTGTGGAACAACAGCTCCAAATAATATATATATATTTTTGACAGACAGAGTGCACAGTGAGAGAGAGAGACAGAGAGAAAGGTCTTCCTTTGCTGTTGGTTCACCCTCCAATGGCTGCCACGGCCAGCGTGCTGAAATGTTGCTATCTTTTGACCATATTTTCTGTGGTACTCACGAAGCCGACATTTTGCTTCATTCTCATTCTTTCTATTTCTTCATCTGGATGCCACCCCCCTTTCCACTCCCCTGCTTGTCTTCCCGGGACCTCTACTTATCAAGCCCACTGAAGAGGGAGGTAGCAGGTGCTTTTCATATTCTTGTCACCAAATGTGTTTTCCCCCTGCTAAGAATTTTAAAATATCAGTAACTACTTAAACCAATACACTTCCACTCAGTGCATTTTGTCATGTATTATCTCATTTGATCATGAGACTACCTTTGTGAAATAAACCAAGATGAAAACCACTTTGAGAGTCAGAGACCATTGAGGTTCAGCAAGACAAAGTGATCTCAAGGTCCCAAGGCTTGTCTGAGGTAAATCAGAAATAATGATTCAGATCTTCTGACTCCAAACTCTGAACTCTTTGAATCACATCTGTGAGAGCAGAGCACAGACAAGCTTCCTTTAGAAGTATTTACTTTTTGCTCTGTCTGTCCTCTCAGAAGAGGCAGCTATGAGCTGACTGCCCCAGGAGTACTGCCTTAAGTAGTTCCAACCTCTCAGGTCAGACTCAAGGGGAATGCCAGGATGCACTCTCCATTTTCTTACTTTTCAACTGAAAGATCACATGTAGGCTTTTTCCACAAGGAAAATGCCAGCACCAGGCTCAGTGGGACAGGAAACAGATTTAGTGTTGTGTGAAACTCAACACAATTCGGGCACTGCTTTTTAAGAGAAAGAATACAAAATTATATATGTAAAATTAGGTATTAAAGTAAATGTTTATTTAAGGTGATTAAAGAAATTCAAACTAATTACAAACTTCTACAAAACTGAAACTACAATAACCAGAGAACTGATATGTTATTTATTTACTAACACATATCTGAAATGCTATTTTCCTACATTTTTGGATGATTAGCCTTTGATTGCTTCTTTATATAACAAGGATTCTGCCATGCAATTTTCAATAAATAAACTGAAAGACATAATTCTGTCTTTTCTCTGGCATGTTTTTCTTTCCTATGCTCAAACTCAGGAAACAAACTTCATAAGGCACATTTGTGTTGTGACGTACTTCTGGCCTCCATCTTTGTGTCATGGTGAGAGGGCAGAGTGAACGGAAGAGTATTGTGGGAAGATATTCCTAGACAGGTTAAATAAAGGTTAGTCAATTCTTCCCAGAGGAAGTGCTCAGAAACATCAGCTTAGGAATCACCTTCCCAAATAACCATCTAGCCAGAACTGGTAGCATAAACACACACACACAGTCAGGTTGGAAAATACTCTACACGCTCAGAAGAGAAGCAACAGCTTGTATGGTTCCTTCCCAGCCAGAGGAAGTGTGACAAAGGGAAGATTCTTTCTACAGAAACAGGGCAAAATGTAGTGTGCTTTCAGGAGCAATCCTATGGTAAGTCTCTGGCTTATCTTCCTTTACATTCATTCATTCATTCAGTAAACTCAAAAACACACACACACATGCACACACACAAAACCTTCAATGTGCCAGACATATACCAACCAAGCATTAGAAATATAATTAGCATTCCATCTATAATACCTTAGAGCTTACCTTTCGCTGATGAATAAGGAAATTTTATTCCTGATAGATATAAAATCCTGTGCTAGGGGCCAGTGTTGTGGTGTAGAGCAGTTAAGCCATCACCTGAAATGCCCTGGATACCAGTTCCCATCCCAATTACTCCATTTCCCCACTAATGTGCCTGGGAAAGCAGAGAAAGATGGTCCAAGTGTTTGGGCCCCTGCAGACATGTGGGATACCAAGAAGAATCTACAGGCTCCTGGCCTTGGCCTGGATCAGCCCTGGTGGTTGCAGCCATTTGGAGAGTAAACCAGCAGATGAAAGCTCTCTATCTTTCCCTCCCTTTCTCTCTGCAACACTACCTTTCACATAAATCTTTTTATTTTATTTTATTTTTAAATCCTATGGGGGCCAGCGTTGTGGCACAGTGGGTTGAACCAAGGCCTGGAGTGCCAACATCCCACATGAGTGCCAATACAAACTCCAGCTGCTCCACTTCTGATCCAGTTCCCTGCTAATGCACCTGGGAAAACAGAAAGGATGGCCCAAGTGTTTGTGCCCCTGCACCCACATGTGAGACCCAGAGGAAGCTCCTGGCTCCTGACTTCAGCCTGTCACAGCCCTAGCCTTTGCAGCCATTTGGGGAGTGAATGAGCTGATGGAAGATCTCTTTCTTTGTCTCCCCTTTCTTTCTGTAACTCTACCTTTCAGGTAAATAAATAAATCTTTCCAACAAAGATGCATACAGACTGAAAGTGAAAGGCTGGAAAAGATATACCATGCCAACAGAAATGAAAAAAGAGCAGGCGTAGCCATCTTAATATCGGACACAATAAACTTTAACACAAAAACTGTTAGGAGAGACAAAGAGGGGCACTATATAATGATTAAGGGATCAATTCAACAGGAAGATACAACGATTATCAATGTATATGCACCTAATTATAGGGCACCGGTTTATTTAAAAGATTTGTTAAGGGACTTAAAGGGAGACTTAGACTCCAATACAATAGTACTGGGGGACTTCAATACTCCATTCTCAGAAATAGACAGATAAACAGGACAGAAGATCAACAAGGAGACAATAGATTTAAACGATACTATAGCCCAAATGGTTCTAACAGATATCTACAGAACTTTTCATCCTACAGAGAGAGCATTTACATTCTTCCTAGCCGTACACACAACCTTCCTAGGATTGACCACATACTAGGCCATAAGGCAAGTCTCAGCAAATTCAAAAGAATTAGAATCATACGATTCAGCTTCTCAGACCATAAAGGAATGAAATTGTAAATTAGCAACTCAGGAATTCCTAGAACATATGCAAACACATGGAGATTGAACAACATGCTCCTGAATGAACAATGGGTCATAGAAGAAAATAAAAGAGAAATCAAAAACTTTCTGGAAGTAAATGAGGATAACAGCACAACATACCAAAACTTATGGGATACAGCAAAAGCAGTGTTAAGAATAAAGTTTATATCAATAGGTGCCTACATCAAGAAATTGGAAAGGCACCAAATAGATGAGCTTTCAATTCACCTCAAGGATCTAGAAAACCTACAGCAAACCAGACCCAAATCTAGTAGGACAAGAGAAATAATTAAAATCAGTGAAGAAATCAACAGGATTGAATCCAAAAAAAATTACAAAAATCAGCCAAATGAGGAGCTGGCTTCTTGAAAAAATAAACAAAATTGACACCCCATTGGCCCAACTAACCGAAAAAAGAAAAGACCGGAATCAATAAAGTCAGAGATGAAAAAGGAAATGAAACAACAGACACTCCAGAAATAAAAAGAATCATCAGAAATTACTACAAGGACTTGTATGCCAGCAAACAGGAAAATCTATCAGAAATGGATAGATTCCTGGACACATGCAACCTACCAAAATTGAACCAGGAAGACATCGAAAACCTAAACAGACCCATAACTGAGACAGAAATTGAAACAGTAATAAAGGCCCTCCCAAAAAAGAAAAGCCCAGGACCAGATGGATTCACTGCTGAATTCTACCAGACATTTAAAGAACTAACTCCAATTCTTCTCAAACTATTCAGAACAATCGAAAAAGAGGAAATCCTCCCAAATTCTTTCTATGAAGCAAGTATCACCTTAATTCCTAAGACGGAAAAAGAAGCAGCATTGAGAGAGAATTACAGACCAATATCCCTGATGAACATAGATGCAAAAATCCTCAATAAAATTCTCGCCAAAACAATGCAACAACACATCAGAAAGATCATCCACCCAGACAAGTGGGAAAAATTCAATTTCGCAAAACAATCAACGTGATACACCACATAAACAGACCGCAGAAGAAAAAACATACGATTATCTCAATAGACACAGAGAAAGCATTTGATAAAATACAACTGCCTTTCATGACGAAAACTCTAAGCAAACTGGGTATGGAAGGAACATTCCTCAATACTATCAAAGCAATTTATGAAAAACCCACACCCAACTGACATCTGGTACCAGACAGGGATGCCCACTCTCACCACTGCTATTCAATATAGTTCTGGAGGTTCTAGCCAGAGCTATTAGGCAAGAAAAAGAAATTAAAGGGATACAAATTGGGAAGGAAGAACTCAAACTATCCCTGTTTGCAGATGACATGATTCTTTATTTAGGGGACCCAAAGAACTCTACTAAGAGACTATTGGAACTCATAGAAGAGTTTGGCAAAGTAGCAGGGTATAAAATCAATGCACAAAAATCAACAGCCTTTGTATACACAGACAATGCCATGGCTGAAAAAGAACTTCTAAGATCAATCCCATTCACAATAGCTACAAAAACAATCAAATACCTTGGAATAAACTTAACCAAGGACGTTAAACATCTCTACGATGAAAATTACAAAACCTTAAAGAAAGAAATAGAAGAGGATTCCAACAAATGGAAAAATCGTCCATGCTCATGGATTGGAAGAATCAATATCATCAAAATGTCCATTCTCCCAAAAGCAATTTACAGATTCAATGCAATACCAATCAAAATACCGAAGACATTCTTCTCAGATCTGGAAAAAAATGATGCTGAAATTCATATGGAGACACAAGAGTTCTCAAATAGCTCAAAAATCTTATAAAACAAAAACAAAGCTAGAGGCATCACGATACCAGATTTCAGGACATACTACAGGGCAGTTGTTATTAAAACAGCAGGGTACTGGTACAGAAACAGATGGATAGACCAATGGAACAGATTTGAAACACCAGAAATCAATCCAAACATCTACAGCCAACTTATATCGATCAAGGATCTAAAACCAATCCCTGGAGTAAGGATAGTCTATTCAATAAATGGTGCTGGGAAAATTGGATTTCCATGTGCAGAAGCATGAAGCAAGACCCCTACCTTTCACCTTACACAAAAATTCTCTCAACATGGATTAAAGACTTAAATCTACGACCTGACACCATCAAGTTATTAGAGAACATTGGAGAAACCCTGCAAGATAAGGTACTGGCAATGACTTCCTAGATATGACCCTGGAGGCACAGGCAAACAAAGCCAAAATCAACTATTGGGATGGCATCAAATTGAGAAGTTTCTGTACTGCAAAAGAAACAGTCAGGAGAGTGAAGAGACATCTGACAGAATAGCAAAAAATATTTGCA